CTTACATGTCCTAGATTTGTCTTTTTTGCTTTTTGTTATTGCCCTGTCCCTCGTTCCCTGTCTTTCCGTGCAAGATGGAGCCGGCAGATGAACACGCGTCGCCGAACTTGGCGGAGACACAGCCCATGTCGGTAGAGATTTGTTTTCGTTTGAGCATCTGGCCTCTCCAGCAGCTGAGTGCCCTTCCGGAGTTTCATTTTCTAGTCGACATGGACCCACGGGATGCCAGTGTCGATCTCTTATACCAAGAGCATGTACTGCAGTGGATGACTGTGGTGGATTTACTGGGCGACTTGGTTGGTCGCATAGAAACGCATCATGGAGGACGTTGTGACAAAAGATACATTTGCATCGCAGCGGAAGGTCATCGCCGATTCGCGGCTCGTGAGAGTTTGACTATTCTTCGTGAGCTTGCGGATGAGAATTCTGTGGTCTCTCTTGTTGCTCGCCCTTCCAGCGTTGGTAAACAAATGCTGGCTCAATTCTGGCTTCCCAAGCTTGACGCAAAGCTGGCAGCTCCAGCGTTGGCCCGACTGGACTTGCATTGTTTCCAGGTGATTCTGGCTTGGATCTCACTTTGCGGGTGGTACAACCTATGCAGAGTGAATAGACAGTGGAGCCGCTGGCTTCGTGCAAACCCGACCTTTCGATCTGTGGTCTCGGATGCGCGTTGGGCCAAGGATCCCGAGTTGCTGGCCATCCAACGGGAGGTGCGAGCCAACGAGGAGTGATCTGTTAAACGCGGAATTTTTGACGGGCTCGATGCTACAGGGACTGTCCGTGCATCGAGCGAAATGCAATGAAAAGGATGTCTTCCGTGCCATCATGATAAGCATTCGTTTGCGCGCTTTTGTTATCCTTTGTTTACAGTTTCACCGTACAGAGAAAGTCGTGCAACTAAGGAAGGTCATCCACTGCATCGCGGTACCGAGCTTATTTGGTGAATTCTATGAGATTTTCGATATGAAAACTCGTGAACAGGTGAGATCATCGGCATTATGGTAAGGAGCATGTTTTTTCCGTATATGCTCGTACAGCAGTTTCTGTTACGCATGCCATGGAGGAGGGCTGGAAACAGCAGTGGTTCTACAGCATCATGGCATCGAGTTTCGGCTTGCAACTCAGTGTCCGACTTGGAAGTAAGTACTCAGCTAGATCTTAGCGCACCTCTGGTTGAAGGCATCGTTGCATGCTGTAACCGTAGATTAAAACAATGATCTGTAGTTGTGTTTGCATTGTTGTCGTTCGCGTGGCTTGCGGATGAATGACCTGTAGTTGTGCATTGCGGATCTGTTAAATCGCTTGCGTCGTGTTCAAGGTAGGAAACGTTTGTTCGATCACAGTGGCAGCCATGACCACTAGCGCTCGTGAGTGGAGAGCGGCGCGCGAAGAAGATATCAGGAAGGCTTACGCCGACAAAGAATGTTGGACTGACCTTGACCGCATTACCTGTTGGCACCCTTACTGTTTCGGGTCCATAGAGGAGTGGCCATTGGACGCTGCCGTGATCTGCAAACCTACGGATCGAGCGTCGGTGCTGCTTGGCAGCATCAAAGCGGCCTGCAGCTTGGAAGACATTTGCCAGGCTCTGTCGGTGAAGGTCACCGTGGTGGTGACCATGTGCGCAAATGAAATGGAGATTCGAGGCGCCCCAAAGGATTGGGCGCAGTATTTCCAGCAAGAAAATGTCTATCACGTCAAGTGTCATTTGGAAGACACGACATTGAAGCCGCCGCACCGTTGGGAGGAAAGAATCCCTGACTTGGTAGCTTCTTGTTTGGAACAGTGGAAAATTGTTTGTGGCCAACTCTGGAAACAGTCCATGCTGGCAGTGACCAGGGGCGAATCCATGCACGTGCTCTTTCATTGCTTTGGAGGCATCAATCGAAGCGCTGGGGCTTTATGTGCTTGGCTCGTCGTGGGTTACAACTACCCTGCAGAGGATGCCGTCCAGTTGCTGCTTAAGAAAAGACCTTCCTTGCGCCCTTGGCACAATCGCCCCTATGTCTTGGAGGCTTTGTGGCAGCTGGAAGGTTTGCGGGCCGAGTGGCACATGGAACTGAGCGCGGCGTGCACAAATTGATTTGCACCACTGTTCGCCTGGAGAAACTGTTCGTGGCGAACGTGGTAGATCAGTAGCCAACTGTTGTTTGTCTGTAACAATTGTTCGATCCTGTAGGGACATCGAAGAAATGGAGTGCAACAGGTGTTATCTATGCCATCATGCTATCGAACTTGTTTTTGTGGAATCATTCACTGCGTACACAAACGAATTTGCACCACTGTTCGCCTGAGGAAACTGTTCGTGGCGAACGTGTGACATGAGTAGCCAAGTGTTGCTTCTCTGTAAGTATTGTTCGATCCTGTAGTGACATCCGAGAAATGCAGTGAGCGAAAACTCGTCCAGGCCATCATGATATCGAACTTGTTTTGTGCCCGGAATCATTCACTGCGTTCACTTGTTGTTTTTTGGATACCAATTTTTAAACATTTCCAATCCAAAGCTGTGTTTGCGCACCTTTGTTTGGAAGTGAGGTCATACACGGCATCATGGTACCGGGCTTATTTGCTATGTCAAACTCCGGAGTCGTGTTTTCACGATGCGTTTCGCTGAATAGATGTGACGTTTGTAGGTCAAGCTGTGGTGGAAATATCGAAACCTTGCGCTTTCAACTAATACTTCTGTAGCCTGCATTAACAGCATGTCGCGCCTGGCAGCCGATTGCTTTACAGCTGCGGGGAGATTGCAATATACTTGTATTACATTCTGTTTTCAAATGAAGAAGCAAGAGATTGTACCCATTATGGGTCTTGGTGTTGAAGGATACCCGGCGGCAGCGCCCACATCGTTGGACATGACAGCAGTTAACAACAAACAAAATTTTGGTGCACAAACGTGTCGCATAAAGTATTTGGGGATTTAAATGTGGTCTGCCATGGCAGCGAATGCGGAGGGAATCCGTGCAAGGGCGGATGTCTTTGATGAACAAATTCTACGACACGTTCTTTCATTTGTGCCTGGGAGCTCTGAATTGGCTCCAAAATATTCTTTGCAACCAGAAACCGGACACTATCTGGTAAAAGCTGGTTGGCCAGTTGTTTTGAAGAAAATGTGTCATTGGAAGGAGGCAGACACCACCATCTGTATTTGCTGCGGTGCCAACCAAGAACCCGGCGATCCAAACGAGTCAGACGATAGCTGGACATCTCAGCAAATCTCTGCTGGCTGGGCAAAGATCATGACCGTGACAATACCACACTTTCGTCATCATCATCTGAAATATATCAAAAAAACAGTCAGAAGCATAGAACATGTTTGGAGGACAATGGCAGCCGAGAGATGTTACATCTGCGGGCACTGCAACGACTGCGTTGTGAATCTCGAGTATGAGCATCCTGCTGACTGGCTGGAAGATCTTTCTGCGTTCACAGAGATGCTGGAACTTAGGTCGTGTCCGTGGAGGTGCCCAGATAAAGATCGACCGCAGTAGCCGGATTGCTGCAGTAGTAAAAGCGGCAAACATGCCACATCTGCAGCATCATGGTACCGACCTTTGCTTGGACGCAGCTTGTGGGAGCTGGAAGGCTTGCGTACCGAGTGGCACTGAGTGCAACTGGCGCAAATTAATCTGTAGCACTGTTCGTCTGGAGAGACTGTTCGTGACGAACATGCAAAACCAGTATGTTCGTCTGGAGAGACTGTTCGTGACGAACATGCAAAACCAGTAGCCAACTGTTGTTTGTCTGTAAAGTTTTTTTTTCCATCCTGTAGGGACATCGGAGAAATGCAGTGAAACAGGTGTTATCCTTGCCATCATGCTATCGAACTTGCTATCATTCACAGCATTCTTGCACGGAGTTCTAGTTTCTTACGGAGCCTTTGTTTGTGTACTTTTGCATTTTGTAGCATTTCCATTGCGACTATGTTTGCCCACCTTTGTTTGCAACTAAGGTCATCCACGGCATCAGGGAGCTGGAAGGCTTGCGTACCGAGTGGCACTGAGTGCAACTGGCGCAAATTAATCTGTAGCACTGTTCGTCTGGAGAGACTGTTCGTGACGAACATGCAAAACCAGTATGTTCGTCTGGAGAGACTGTTCGTGACGAACATGCAAAACCAGTAGCCAACTGTTGTTTGTCTGTAAAGTTTTTTTTCCATCCTGTAGGGACATCGGAGAAATGCAGTGAAACAGGTGTTATCCTTGCCATCATGATATCGAACTTGCTATCATTCACAGCATTCTTGCACGGAGTTCTAGTTTCTTACGGAGCCTTTGTTTGTGTACTTTTGCATTTTGTAGCATTTTCATTGCGACTATGTTTGCCCACCTTTGTTTGCAACTAAGGTCATCCACGGCATCATGGTGCCGAGCTTCTTTTGTATCTCAAAGGTCTTTGTGTGGAAATGCGTCTGACCTCTCTCTCTCTCTCTTTATCTCTTCCCCCTCTTTCTCTCTGTGGTTGCAAGACACATGTCATCTGATGCCCTTTACCAAATATTCTCTTCTTGATCAATCTTACTTTTTTACATCATGTCTTTCCATAGCTCATATAAAATTCACCAATAAAATTCACCAACTATTCACCGACTATCTTTTACGACTACCATACTCAGAGCTGCTTGAAACACATCTTTTTCGCTCTCGGGCCAACCGTCGTCTAGTTTTCTTGTCTCAATTTGTTCAGTTCTTGAACATTGGAGTGGAAATGGACAAATTGCGATGCATCTGAGGTTGATATGCACAAAAGATTCTGAGCCTGCCAATGATGCAGATGGCGTGGAAGCGAGGTGAAAAGGCTGACGCTGAACTTGCAAAGTTCTAGTTTCCAATGCGTGTGGATCAAACAAGCAGCCAGCGCTACCAAAGTTTAGCAACGGAAGCTGTGAACAGAAGCAAAATAGCTGTGATTTACATTGATTTATATACAGTTTTTTACATGTAAAAAAAATGATTTTGTTCTCATGGGATGTAATGATTGATGTCATTCCCTCAGCTGAGGCTGGAGCTGGAGTAGGCCTGCTCTTCATTCTGCCAAGGCCAGGCGAGCCGCAAAGCAGAGAACTGACAACAAGATTTTGAGAAAAACATTGGAGTGAAGACAATCATAGAAAATCCCATTAAATCATATTAAATCCATCTATCTGAATTTATCCAACTTATCCCAACTTTCACATGACTTTCGTGACTTTGACATAATTTGATAAGCTATATAAGCTGTTTCAGGCTGCTTGGAGTCTTGGCCCCAACTTTGGCGAGTCGTGGAGCTGGGATGCAAACCGATGTCAATCAGTAGCGATGTCATCGTCACTGAGACCCTGCTGGGAGCACCTCGGGCGTCCCCGTTGGAGCAGTGGTCTCAGGGCTGAGCTGTGATGATCAGGACATATCTGGACAATTGACCAGCTATTCGATGTGAACTACAGGCTTTGCAATGGGTTTTGAAGGGTTTTGGTTTTGACCCATGCCAATATTGACACTGGGGAGACATATCTCTACACAGGCATGGTTGGAATGATGATGCTGAAGTTTGAATGATGCGGAAAAGACATTGTGATCGTAGCTGCACGTGATTCGCACAATGAAGTCTGTGTTTGTGAAACCAGACAGTTAGGAAGGTCCTCACAGATTTGGGCATCAACTTCACTGCGATGATCTTCCTTGGATTCCTGACATATCAGGCTGGTTCAACAGGTACTCTCGGGGGCTGTGGTTAGCCAGTAGCTTGAGCGCACGATATGACAGGAATGGAATGGTGAATCAGTACGATCTCAAGCCAAAGAGGTGCGAACCAAGAGGCATCGTCCTTTGAGTCTTGAGCATTGCCAGCATTGCAATGCCTTTGTGTCAGGAAGGTGCTTTGATTGCTCGCCTTCCCGTTCAAGTCAACCTCAATGGAAAGGCCGCTAGCATCCGTAAGCTGTGTCTTTGCCCCTCCCACCAGTCTGCCAGTCTCTACCAAGCCATCGCTGTGACGCTGTGGCGAGGATGTCGATGTCAAGCTGAGTGATCTGCGGAATGGGCGCCAACTTCTTCCTCGGCGGCCTGTCACAGCCTCGGTGATCTGACAAAGGAAAGATATGGAAAGATTGCCTTGCTCTTTTCATCCTCTTTTCATCCTCTTTCCGCTTTTCAAGAGATTCAAGAGTGAGGTTATCTGCATTGGAAATGAGCAATTCTGCCTTGAGCTCATTCTAATTCATTTGGTACTTTTCTTTGATGCAACACAGTGGCAAAGCCTTAAAGTATTTAAAGCTGTGAACACGAACCGTCGAGGCTTGGATTGTATCGATGCCTCACAGAAGGTGGGCGAGGCGATGGCCCGGTGCGATTTCCTGCTCATCCCAGTCCTGAGCACAACCAATGGCAGGCCACTGGGAGATCTTGGGCATCCGAGGTTAGTGGAGATAAGCACGGTGATAACCTCCATTCGTATCCAGGTTTGGACAATAACATATATAACATGATATAATTATATCATATAATCATAATATGTATATATATATATATGATATAATATATTATATATATACACCCCTATAACATCATATAACATCCTATAGCTGTGGTATACTACAGTCATATGGCCACTTTTCTAACCCCAACTGCACCCCCCATCACGGCCATGGCATCGCAGGACAGCGATTTCAGAAGCTGCCAAAGGCAAGAGCTTCGTCGCACTGCCCAAGGAGCTCTGAGCGACCCTCATGCGACAAGTTTTCCGGGAGACGATGTTGTTTTCATTGACATTTGAACATATTTGAGCACCAAATGGTTTTGAATTTGGTGAAACATTGACATTGTCTCTATTTGCCTCTTACTAATTTATGCTATCATTTGGACATATATGCTTTTGGTCTCATTTGTTCCTCAAGCGCTCTTTGTTCCAAGTGTCTGGTCGGCTCTGCAGGACTCCGAGGACTGGCAGCTGCTTCAAGAGATTCAGCTCGCACAGGCGCTTTGGTACCTGAAATCATTGGTATGAGGAGCCTAAGCCGTCACTTTTTTTTGGCACCTAATTACCATTAATTACCCCATTCAAGTCCAAAGTCGTTGCTCAGGGTTTTGCCTCTCGTGTCACAAGTAAAAATCATCCCACCTGGCTTAGAGACAGGGAACCACGGGAACCACGGGAACCACACTACCTCAAGCACTGCAATCGATTGTGCTCAGCGGCTCCAGGTGAAGAGTCAAGGACTTGACGAGGTTCGTCAACGTTCGTCACATAGCCTGGTTGCTGGTTCCGTAGGGACTCCACGGGCAGGCGACTGGTCAAGCCATCATCGTGAAAAAGAATGGACGAGCCAAATGCTCAGAGCGTCTCAGAACCTGTAATTGTTGAAGTCGAGGTCTTGTAGACGCTGTCATTTGCAATGGTAGTAAGATGTAGTGTGGAAACCTGCACGTTTTGCCCTTGCAAATAAGTTTCAAGCGATTGCAGCACAGGTTGGCACACGATTTCTTGGTGTGTGCAGCTCAGCCCTCTCAAACGTTTGGACCAGTTGGAGTTGGACAAGTTATTTTTGTTTGGTTAATCTCGGGTCAAAGTTAGTCCATCTCGTTTGAGAGACTTCTCCAAGGTGCCAGACTGGAACTCGCTCACGCAAGAGGTGCATTGGGGCTGCATTCATTGCATCACCAGGTCATCGAGGTGGCATTCGAATGGCTTTTCGGCATCTTTCGGCCAGGTTGATGCCAGGGTTCAAATTGGCTTGGACACTGACAACATTTGAATGCTTGCGTAACTTGCGGCACCAGTGCATGCTGACTTCCTAGCTCCTAGCGAAGCTATGGAGTTTTTTTTTACCATTTTCCATCATGACAAGCAGCCAGCTGTACAAGTGATGCGGAGCCTACAATAGGGATGGAGAAGAATACAAAGTTGCAAAGATTTTTTTCGTTTTGAGATTCTGTGTTGATGTGACGTGCTGCTGCAAATGATCTCGACCTGATTACTTCTTCAGCTGCATGTGTGCTTGCTGCTGGCATTGGTCCAATGTCTTGACATGCAGAGCGAGCAAGCAGAGCTTCTTTTCGCCGGTTTGCCGTGCCTGAAATTTTCGAAAGCCTCACAAAAGATCTGTCCCTTTCCAGTGTGGCTTTGATGTGAAACTTTGGTGATGTAATTCAATGGGTTGACATGTGTGGATCACAAGTCACCAGAAACCGTTCTGCTGAAAGAATTGCCAACCATGACTGCCATGACTCATCATTTTCATTTTTGGCTCTCAAGTAGATCACAACTGGCTGCTGGCAGTGCAGTAGTGATCCCAGTGCTGTCAGATCCAATCCACTGAGCGAAATTTCAACTGTGTCTTCACCATGTTTCCTCAGGTCAAAAAAGATGGCCATGCCAGAGGTCCGTAGACATCATGTAGACATCTGACCGGTGCTGGGATATCTCAGAGTCTTGGGGGAGCAGTAGGTAGATAGATAAGCAATGATAAACCATGGTAAGTAGATGAATAGGAGCTGGCTGAAGTATGCCACCAAGATGCCAATGATCTGACTTCCGCATGCTGCAGGCAAGCGATGCCCCCATGGATCCTCCAGCAGAGGCTGAGAATCTCTGAGAATCAAAGTTTTGGATGGAAGCTGATGGAAGCTGAAAGAGAAACCTGTTGAACTTTTGAAGGAGAACACAGAAGCTCCGCAGGCGGAATTCGGAATTTTGGGACATCCAGTTTGGACCCTCTTTCTTTCGGTGCTGTGTTTTGGACCAATTCTGTTTGCAGGGTCAGAGTTTTGCTTATTTTCTAGTGCTCGCAGCAACTTTTTTTACAATGAAAGGCAATCTTGGTCCTAGGTCCTAGGGCTGAAAAGCAGAACAAGATTCAAATGGAGCAACGGCGCTTGATTTCGCGAACAAATCACCGTTGAGGTCTGTTAAGTGATGGTATTCACTGCACCGTGAAGAACTGGCCGACAGGATACAACTGCCAATGCTGAGGAGACTGAGGAGGCAAAGATGCAACTTTCTGCCAGTGGATAGTCCGCATGCTCAAGTGTGCCAGGCAAAGGCCAGCGACCTCCAAGAAGAGGACGATCTCCGCATTTTCTTGACAGCAGCAAACTGCATTGAGAGACTGCCAGTCCCGGGTGCGATAGATAGTGGATTCACATAGATTTTTTGGGAAAAAAACGAGGCATTGCAGGTTTGATTGAAACATTGAGTTCAGATCTTCTTGGCAGAGGGATCCCCCCACCTTTCAGGAGGGTTTGCACCAAGGGGGCCCTGCTTCTTCCAACAATCAGTGGTGCATTTTCAAGGGCGGCCTAAAGCAGAACAAACACACATTGATATTACATGTGTCACATGTCACTAAGACATGAATCATCTTGACAGGTGGCCGTGGATCACCCCTGGTGCCATGGTTGTCACATCACAACTTAAAGTGGCTGGTGGTATCTGGTTATGTTTTGTTTGGATTCGAGTCATTCCATGTCATTCCCATTCCAATACGCGCATAGCTGATCCATCCCCATACATATCCACATTCTTGACGGTTAAACCATGATCATTTCCTACATTTTTGATGGGTCATCTCCATATTGGGGAGCCAATGGCCCAACGCAGTGTGATCCCGCGACCCATCAGGATGGTCCTGGAGAAGATGGGCAGGACAGGGGATCAACTCACTCGATGATGATATTGCACTGATATTGATATTGCCATATATTGCTCCAAACATGTCATGTCTGACATATATGACACGGGTTGGCACTGAAACTGGCCCAACACAGTGTCGCCAGACGAAGCTAGCTGCGCTACTGTATGCTGTGCTATGCTGCGCGAATCGAAATTCGTTATGAGGAAGCACAAGAGGGTGAGCCCAAAGAGGAGATGGATGTCGACAAGGAAGATGGTGGCAAAGGCTGGAACAAAAAGGTTGTGAATGTCCCAGTTTACTCTCAACATCATGTGATTTTCCCAATCTTTGTAATCCCTTTCCCAAAATAAACACACTCCAGAAACTCTGGTTTAGTATTGGATATGTTTCCTTTAGAGTTCCATATGCAGGAGTTCATTGTCAAGGAGATCACCCACCAGGAAAAACACATGGCACTTGACAAACTCCATTTATTGATGATGTTACTTATAAAGTCATCTGTTTCTTTTTCATAGGCTGCAGCGAGGGGGCGTTCCCAGCCATGTTTGCCGCCGAAGGTGAAGATGCCGAAGGTCGAGAAGCCGATGCCGCAGAAGGTGAAGCAGAAGGCGAAGGTGGTGAAGGTGGTGAAGGTGGAGAAGGTGGTGAAGGTGCTGAGGCGGAAGGCGATGCCGAGAAGAAGGATGAAGAAGGCCCTATGGAACTGGAAAAACCATGAAGAACACTGGGCCTAGAGGGAAAACTGATGTATCCTATATGACTATATGTATCATTATGTATCTGATTTTTGGGTTTGGGTGTTTTCTGCTTGTGTGTTTCGTTTTTTTTTAGGACGGTGTTTGCTGATTCTTGGTGCTTTATGGGTTTGATGCGGAGGCGTGGAGAAGGTGGACAAACTCAGCATGTCCTTGGACGACCTCATAGAGCCAGAGACCCAGACGAGGGGAAAAAACGGGAGATGGAAGGGGAAACCATTCGAAAGGAACATAAAGAAACTAAGATATCTAAGATGAAATAAGATGAACTAAGGCTAAGGAACCTGATGGAACATACTAAGGAACCTGAATTTTTAGAAGGTGTCTTTAGCTGTCGTTCTGTTTCCACGTTTCATGACGTTTCCACTTTTTGCCTCAGTGGTCACCCCATCCAGGCCATGAGGTGAGAGGAAATCTACAGATCTACAAACTCTGTTCAAACGATCCCGTTGATGTCCTGCTCAACTGTTGATGCTTCGATCTGCGCACTCAGTGCGGATAGAAGAGCTGGAAAGGATACGGGCCACTCCGCCTGCTTTCGCGACAGAGCATCAGTAGCAACCCCATCATTAGAATCATTAGGAATGATATTCATTAGGAAATCAATATCAGGGGAATGCCATTCCCCTAAATTAGATCTGGGGCTTATATATATATATTTAACAGCCCCAAAATGAAACAGATCAACTGTGTGGTGTGTGTGCCAGGCAAATCACGGTGGGGGAACAGCAAAGCTGGAGGTAGTGGTGGAGGCTGGCACCCAGATTCTGCTTCGCCAGCTGCACAAGTTCTAACTTTGCAAACTTCCACAGGTGGAAATTGGAACAGCTACAGCTGGAAGGCGAGTGCTACAAAGATTGCACACAACAAATTTGACATCGGGACTTATTGAGTATTGAACGGCCATTGGCTGGTGACACCACTTGCACCGTCTCATCTTTTGTCTAGAGTCTACATAAAAGCTGGCAAGGGCGATTTGCAACGCTGACCTGGTAATTGTACAATATTGTACAGTGGGATGAAGCCATTTTGCGACAATTTTTTGATGCTCTGCGAGGACAGCAATGGCAAGAGCGACAAAGGCGATTGGAGTAAGGAGAAACTTCCGTGTCTGTGCAGACATCACTGCACTTGAGATTAGAGGTTTGTCAGTGTGAGTGTTCCGTTGCTCCAGCAGGACTCCAGCAGCCCACACGCAACTTTGCCCCCACAATGTTCTGCCACCATCCGTTTGCCTCAAGTCTAGTTCCAGTGTCATGTGCAGGACTGGAAGAAAAGCAGTGGTGACGATGATTGGCAGCAGGCATCGGCTTTGTTGCTTCTATACAGTGCTCCAAATTTCTTTGCTTCGGTCCTGCTTTCTTGAGAGCTGTGCCAACTGTGCAGAATTACAAAAAGAAGGATGACTGGAAGGACCGTGTCATAGCAAGGTCTCATTATCCCCAAATCTGCTGGCAGCTGCTAGAAGATGCTACTGATGCAAACGTGTCAGAAAGATGTCCCAGCCTGTGAACATCGTAACCGGTAGTTGGTTTGAACATGTTTGCAACATTTCTTCTTGTCCATCCCTGGTTGGGATTATAATCCAAGCCGTTTGTGGGTTGAAACCAACAGGACAAGGACAAAGATGCCACTTGGGGATCAAAATATGCCGGGAGACCCGGCGCCGAAGATACCCCATGCCATAGGATGCGTGCAGCATTCTTGCCGTACTTGACTTTCAAAAACTGCAAGGACTGGAAGGGTAGCAAGGATACAAAGGATACAAAGGACGGAAGCGATTGGAAATCAGATTGGAAGAAGGTTGGGCTCCTCAAAATTCCAGCATGTTGACTGTGGCCTCTGCACCGCAATGTCCTGCTAGGGAGCAGATTCCTACGGCAGCAGCAGTGGAGGCAAAGATTATGGCTGACGTGGCAAACCCGCAAACCCCATACGAACCCCCCATCTCTCAATGGCTTATGATCAGGACCAAATGGTGACATTGAATGGTTTATTGTTTTTTGTGGTTGGCTTTACTACTTTACCACTTTACTTTTTCTTTTCTTCTTGCTGTTCCCATGAGAATCATAAGAGCGTCCGGCATGGCTTTGCCAGCGTTCATCAGTTGGACTGATTTGGTTGAGGTGCCAAGTGGGATGCTTCCTGGTCCTCTGGTGGCAGCAAAAATTGGTCCGCAGGATACGACAAGCCTGAAGCTTAGTGATGTAGTTGCCATACAGTAGAAGCAAACAAGAGACATATTTTAAACGTTGGAGGATCTGATCTCATTATATAGTTTCGCCAAGGAACTCCTATGGAAGTGCTGGTGGCACGCCTCCTAAGAAAGTGTTTGGGGATGTTTGGGGTATGAAATGTGGACACGGTGCGCTTCCCTGTGATGTGAGCTGCTGGCAGGTTCCAAGGCCTATGACAAGGGCTATGATGACAAGTATGACAAGTACGACAAGTACGACAAGTACGACAAGTACGATAAGTACGACAAGTA